AGAGAGAGAGAGAGAGAGAGAGAGAGAGAGAGAGAGAGAGAGAGAGAGAGAGAGAGAGAGAGAGAGCAACCAAGTTGATGTCGACTGATGATTGCCTTGGTACAATCCGGCCAATAAGCCGATGTAGGATCGAAATCGGTCCACGTAGCAAGGATGGCGCCCCTCGGAGGTTTCCCGAGAAGAGAAACCAGGCTTCATCATTCAACAAGTCTTCTGATCGCATCGCTGGTAGAGTTCGAAGTGGTGTGGGTTTGCGCTGCAAGGTCCGTAGACGTGGCCTGAGAGTGGAGGTACTCTTCTCTTTTGCTCTGTTCAACTTTTTAGTGTGTTGTTTGTCGTTTTTTAAGGGTGGCGGAACGACTGAGCAACGGTCCATTGTTGGCCAGTTCTGCTTTTGGACATAACCCGGACGCCAACCCTTGAACTGGGAAACGGACCTAGATTTTCTCCGGGTTGTTTAAAGTGAGCTAGTTTAAGGTAGAGGTGGGAACCAGGGCACTCGGTTCTGTTTGGGTTTCAGCCGCAGGAGGCAACAGGTAGGTGGTGGGTGGGAGAGTGGCACAATTGACAAGGAATGCGAATTCCAATCAGCCGTTCGTAGGCTGTTTGCGGGCCGAGAGTAGGCCTGTTTTAGAGGGTTTAAGTAGGTTAGGTTAGGCCAGTTCGGCAGTGTGAGCAGCAGCAGCAGCAACGTGTTACAGCACTAAGCCTGACATTCTTCTTTCGGCACCTCCTTTCTCTGTGGATGTTCTTTACTTTCTTAGTAGGCGTTAGCGACGTCAGAATCTTCACTGTGCTTCTGTGTGAAAGACAAAGTCTGTGAGGCCCCTCGAGCCCCGGCCTATTTCGGATTTGCTAGGATTTGGCTCTTCGTACACAAATTTAGGATTGTGACGTTTGGATTGTTTTTAAGGTCGACCACGACCTCAGCAGGCAGTTGCGATTGGACTCAAATTGTGTACTAGAATCTTGTTGTCTATTTCGGAGTTTGCTTTTTTTTCATCCAGTACACCTCCCTCTCTTTCTCTCTCTCTCTCTCTTGGCGGGAACGTCTTTGCAGGCCCTGAACCTCAACCTACAATTGTCTCTACATTCGTGCATTCAACCCTTGGTATCTACATGAAGGAGAGAGAGAGAGAGACACACACACACACAGAGAGAGAGACACACACACACACACACACACACACACACACACACAGAGAGAGAGAGAGAGAGAGAGAGAGAGAGAGAGAGAGAGAGAGAGAGA